TACCGTCGAGAAATTAGATTCTGAAGGCTTAAGTGATTGTAAGTCTTCCTTTGACGACTTTTCTGGCGGTTGGTTTTGGTTACGAGGAGCAGAGATCTTCCATGTTTCATTTGAAGGGCCTCGAGGGAGTTGCTTTGTTTTAGCATGAGAGATAATAGACGATGATAAGAGTGTGGATTCGCCAATATCACTTTCTTGACTTGAGGATAATGCCAAAGGTGGTAATGGTTTTGTTCGGGGATCCACTGGTTTATTTCTCATCGGCTTTTGTTGTAATAGTTGCAAGTTAGTTTCTTGTTGATTGGTATGCATAATTTCACTGCCCGTAGGATCACTGTTGCTTCTTACAAAAGATGTGTTAACTTCTGGCTTGCTATTGAAATAATGACTTGTAGGATAATAAACGTCAGGCGTAGATGTCGTGGAAGGAATAGCCAGTTGTGCATTGTAAAATGCTTTAGGTGGAAACTGCTTATTCAAATCTTGTTCATGGCGAATCTTTTCCAGTTTTTCAGTTAATTCACTTGTTGGCACATGGTTGGTATTTTGTTGAAAACTTGCTTGTGATAAACTAGCTGCATCCTCCTCGTCATCTTCATCTTCGTATTCAGATATATCAGATGTGCCTGGACTAATCAAGCTCTCTAGAGAGTTATCTGAGAGTCGACTAGAGTCAAAATCTTGACTTTTATTGCCCCATTGTCCTTTTTGCTTGATATTGTTCCATTCTTTAGTGGCACTGTTGTTACTGTCATCAAGATTATACATGTTGGTAGGTGCAGAGCTGTCTACGCTGATATTGTTACTGACAGAGGAAGAGACAGAAGATCCACGACGACGATGGCGACTACTGTCAAGAAAAGTATGGGATGTTTTTGTAGAGGAAGAGGAAGGATAGTTTCCAATCACCACGACTTGAGCTGCATGTTTATCTCGAACAGCTGTATTATTACTATGGCGTGCATCCACATGGACACCTGTCACCACATCAAGAGTTTTTTGGCGTATACTGTTGTGCGCCAGCTTCTCTTTTACCATCGCATTCACACGCTCTTGTTCATAAGTAGGAGGAGGAGGGCCAATGACTTGTACTCGGGTAGAAGAAGAAGAAGCATAATAAATTTTTTTAAGTCGACGCACAACGCGCTTCAGTCCTTTAATAATACGCTGATCTCTGGGTGATTGCTTCACTGTAGGATGAAAAGGTGTTTCGTTCAAGAAATTTGTAAGGATAGTACGAAGTTCTTTACTTGGCACAAAATCATGTAAGAAATAATTCAATAACCAGTGTCGCATCACAACAAATGTTCTATAGGTATCTTTTTTGTTAGTCCTATGCATGTATGTGTATTTCTGCTTGCCTTATTCTAATAACACAACGCTTTTCATCAGTATTCTCTAGACTCCATTTGAACCTCAGGATCAATAGTTTGCACAACTGAACAGGTGTCATAAACACTCGGAAAATCAAAAAAAAATCGGTCATAAAAGTATAGTCTAACAAGTTTAATGCATGATTATTTGTTTATGTGATACCTTACCAAGTGAAATAGTGAGTTTTTCAATCAATTTCTCAATCGTTGCAGCCTCAATCACTTGAGACACCTCCGACACTTGTATAGGTAACTGTTGCGTACTCATCGATTTCTTCTTTAATTTGAGACTTGTGGATAAAAGGTGTTGTGCTGTAGACCATGTAAGTTTATGTGCATGAGGATGGGATGGCTTTTTTTGTTCATGGGAAGAAGGTGCGTTTGAAGGCACCGTTGTTTGCTGTTGGGTGCCCCATAAAATAATGCTTTGATCATGATCAGACTCGACTAAATCAAAGATAGTTAAAGGGTAATCCGAAAGATCTGCTGGTGGTTGTATCATGGCTTCATCTTGCTTTGTTTGTTCTTTTTGGTTTGTTTCTGACCAGATATCACCAAATTCACTCACAACAGGAATCGTAGGCAAGGATCTTTGATGAGAAACATACGTCTCTTGTTGTTGTTTAGGTTGTATCATCATCGTGTTACTCTTGGTACTCGTGTAACTTTTTTTGCTGGCATTTCTTTGGACCGGCCTAAAGCCAGAACTTAATGAGGATAGGTCTTCATCCTCGTCTGCATTCCAAAAAATCTTGGATTCTGTATATTCTGGCACACCAAATACAGTGGCTAGGGCAGCCCTTTCCATACCACCATCACTCGTATCGTTACGAAATTCGATAGGAATAAGTGAATTACTTCGTTTTCGTGTGGTCATAATTTAAGAAAAAAAAACAAAGTGTGAAAAGAAAAAAAAAAAAAGAAAGAAAAAGAAAGAAATATATACACAACAACAGAGCAAGTAGAGAAGTTTATTTGAGTATAGGGCGCAACTGTATCACGTGCACATTTTATATATATATATATGTATGGCGTCTATCTCGAATAATCCCACTTTTCAGCCATTCGCTGCAAAACAGATGAAAAAGAAGTCCATCTTTGTGGTGCATTTGACTCATTTAGGGTTTCTGGATCTATTGATTTGACCTATAAATAAGGATTAATTAAAGAATGACTTCGTTTTTTTTTCTACTTGCCAAAAGCTCTGTTCTTTTGGCCCCTTTGTCTTGTTGTTCAATATGATCCATGCTGACCAAATTGTCTTCCACCAAGTATCGCTTTTTACTTCTAAATGTCACATCTGCAAGCATGAAACCTTCAAATGATGCTGGTGCTTTCAATTCATTGTAGCTGCAATAAATTAATAAATTAATTAAACCTGTGTAATAAAATACCTCAGTAATTTGCACTGATCTATGAGTGCTTGTAATTCAAGGGTTTCTAAAGAAACTTGCTGCTTGGCACAAAGTCGAATGTCTACGCGACTAAGTAAAGAGTGAGTCTATGTCATGTTCATATGTCGTTTCTTACCCATGTATACCAAGAAGATGCATCACAAATCGCTTCTTTTCACCTACAATATGCTTAAGTTCCATTTGACCATCTTCTTTCATGATAAATTCTAATGTAAGTCTATTGTTTGATGCAGCAGGAGAGTTATTTGAAAGCAATGATTGGTCTACATAGTCAACTTGAATCACTCGTTGATGGAACTCTTTATCCAATGGCATAAATGGTGTCGTGAATTGACGAGGGGGCATTCTACACAATAAATACAAAGCACACGTCTATATGCAAACTTACGTATTGAGAAAAAGAGTTCTGTTGTTATATAAAGTTGATAATTTGGCTATATCAACTTGGTGATCCATACCATTGTATTGAAACAAAAGATGACCAAAACTAGATAAAATTAATAAGACACACAGTCAATAGATGGCATACCTTGCTTCGAGCGAAATATTGTCTAGTACATCAAATGGTGCCAACAAGACATCTTTAATTTGACCAAATGAACCAATACTAGCATAAACAAGATTAGTAACTTGTGATAGCATCCATATATTTACTTTTGTCCATTCAGTACTTGATAATTCTTTTGTGTATCAACTGTGTTATTCTTTAGTCGTTTCCAATAAAATCCTCTATCATAGAATGGTATGGATGCTGAATCATAAAGTGGTAGCAAAGTATAGCTGGCATTGTTATGTACAACTGTATGATCTGCTTTATCCAAAGGTTGTTTATCTGTTGCATTGATCTATATATGAAATAAATAAAGAAGTATTGAATTGATTTCTTACTTCTGTTAAAAAGAGGTTCAATAATCGTTTAGCATCTTGCATAGCTTCATCCGACATGCTTGCTAAAACCATCTATAGAAAATTATTTACTACAACATATCTCCATCAACCTACCTTATTATCTTCTATAGTGATAAAAGTACGACTCAGTCTGGAAATATCGGGCAATGCTTGATTCACCTGGGATTGTAGTTGAGAATCATGAATGACTTGGACTGGTAGATCTATATGTTCTTGCTGGATTTTTAAGCGAGACTGAATATCTTTTTTTGTCTGACGAACAGCCTCTGGAAGACCTTCTATAACATATTCGCTCTTTTCTATATCAATAGTGATATTCACATCATTCTTTTGTTCTATAGAACGAATGGTGTTGCCATTGTCTCCAATAATAAAAAACAATTCTTGTTTGGAAGATACAAGTGTTTCTTTGACCAAGTTCTTTTGTCTTTCCATTTGTGCTTGTCTTAATTGTTCTTTGGTAGTCACATTCCATTGGTTTTGAATGATTTCTGTCAAAAGTCCATCTTTTCTCGTACCTTTCTTGACGGGTATCTGCTGTGCAACAAGATAATCTGATAATTGACGGACAGTAAAAGAGTTGGAGACCTGCGTACGTAGTTTTTCCATGTCTTTTTTGGATATGACATTGTGTTTGGGTCGATATGTCTCTATAGATTCGAGTAAAACACTTTTGGTGTGTCCTATACTGCCTGACTTGCGTTGTAAAGGTTTTTCGATCTCGGACAAGATCTCTTGTAATTGCTCGTCAGACAATAAACGAGGTCGAGAAGACGAAAAACAACGTAGTTTAGGTTGAATAGCGCGTTTCGAAACTATCAATTGAATCCTTATTCGACTAGATAAAAATGACATATGAACACAAGCGAGAGGAAAAAAATAAAGAAAAAAAAAAAACGAACCAAAATTTTGAGTGTGCAACACCAGGGTCATCATGCTTAAAATCGGTATTTCAAGACTGGTTTTTTCTCTCTCTTAAAAAAAGACTTGTTCTAAAGTCTTGAAATACGATTTACTTGTAATAATAATTGAATAAATTTATATTTATAGTGCCTGTGGCGCTGCTGGGAAAAATAGAGTGGTTTTCTTATTTTTCTTTTTTTTTTTTTATTTCTTTTCTTCTCGAATGAATTCAAAGCGCCTTAGTCTCGGCAGTCATTTTCTCAGTAGTAAAAAAAAAGGTGATTTATCAGATTTGTTTATAAGTTTTGATAAAGATCATGATGGAAAAATATCTTATTCAGAACTGCACGATATGCTACATTCAGCTGGCGTTGATAGTTCTTCCATCAATATGGTAAATATAATCTTTATTGCACACAACGGCTCATTTATTTAGATAAAAAACCAACCCAACAAGAGCCTTGATTTCGAAGAATTTGCTCAGCTTATGAGACCTACTTTGTCTGACCCTCATAGAATGACTTCGAAACAACTCGAATTAAAAGAAGCGTTTGATGCTTTTGATAAAGACGGTGATGGTGTAATCAATGTAACAGAACTTCAGGCCATGATGGAAAAGCTTGGCGATAAAATCACAATACAAGAAGCACAAGACTTGATTAAGGACGTTGATTTAGATAAAGACGGCGTCGTTAATTTCAATGAATTCTGTACAATGATGGGAGTAAAGCAACCAACCGAGACAATAATTAAACGATCACAATGTACACATCATCAGCACCGGTTTTCTATTCATAGGTTATTTTGTAGTCATAAATAAACAAATCCTTTTTCTTTCTGAAATAGTAATGACTGAGAAAGGACAAAGATTCTGTCATGTTTTGATGAACGGAAAAGAGAAGTTGACGAAAAGAATTTATGGAAAATCCAAAAGAAGGAGAATAAGAGGGACACTCGGTTTATTCAAAAAGGCAACACCTTTTATGCAAACGTATTCAAGAATATTTTTTCAACTAATCATAGTTAGAGTCAATCAGTACTTGAGATTTGTAGTTCTTACATTACTATGAAACATCTGTCCAAGAGTCTGCAGAACCTGTTGGTAGTTTGCAGGATTGGGATTTTAGTGCCTTATCTAGCAAGGCCAAAATTGCTCAGCCCCTTTCTCGCTAGACAAGCCAAATCAAATTTCGTCTTTCAAAGCAGAAATACGGCATTTCCATTGTCATGACCCAAATATAGAAGTGAGTCGCAACAAAGACAAAAGTATTCTCTATTGATTTTCTAATAAAGATGAAAGACATCAGCATTATAGCAGAAATGTCTTATGCTGAACTGCGTGGAATAACATGTTTATGCATAAAATGGTTTTCCGTCCATTCCATTTTTGCATAAATGTATTGGTCTGAAAAAGCAGTTACCATAAGCATTTTATTAAGCTTTATGTCAACTCTCTTCACTTCATTATACAAACAAATCACTGCTTTCTTTGTGTAATAAGCAGCAATGAAATGTCATCAGCTGATAAAAATACCTTTCATAATTTCTTTTGTTTTCTGTTATATTTGGTCCTTCTGAGTTTCAAAAACGTACATTTTTGCAATCTCTCTTTAACAGAGTTATTTAAGCATATTTAAGCTCTGAATGATGACAAGAACAATTAAATCATTGGCTGATCTCCCTGAAGAAGCATTTTTCTTCAAGAAGCGAACATTGCATTCTTCTTCTGCGTAACAGCGTGAGATATGCTATCAAAATTGTATGGGATGTTTTATCGTTTGTATGCATCAAGACAGGCATCAGTGTAATTGGTGTAGCAGAGAGCCATGTCAGCTGTCGAAGTAATAATACCGCAAGGTCAACTGTACAAGAGGACATGCGTTTTCCTTTAATACTTGGCATTTACTTGATATCTTATAAACGTTTTAAGAGTATGAACTCAGTGCCTGCATGAAGATGTATACAGTTTCTCATTCGTTTGATGTATGCATTTTTCTCGTCATTCATTAAAGAAGGGTTTTGTTTGATTACAAAGACTTAGCTAATCAATATTCTCAAATCAACATCTTTCACGGCGAGACACCTACTGGCTCTTTTAAGCATTGCCTAATGCAAAAAATGTAATGGAAACGACTTTCGCTCGTGTTTTGAAGACGCTTAAATAAAGAAGCCATGCAAGTCCTTATAGAGCGTTTGATCATGCTTATCTGTTAACTTCTTTTAGAAGCTTTTATAGAAGATCGTGCACGGTTAAATTTAAGAGTACAGCATAAAATATATCGTCAAAAAAAAAGCGAAAATCGGAAAAAAAATGCGCCAAGTGATGTTACAGTTCGAAATGGAAACAGTCGCTTTAGAAGCATTATTGTTTCTGTATGGAACATTGCAATGGAATTACACTGTCAACTCCGCTTTTGGATCATCAATTTAACTGTTACACAAGTGTCTATATAAAAAGACTTGTTTTTATTCAGTCTGTTTTTTTTTTCAACCTATACAAAATGAATCACTATCAAACCCTCGGTATTACTACAGAAGAATATGAGGCACTACAAGAAGCTTTTCAGCTATATGACATCAAGAAACAAGGCTACATCAGTACAGACCAGTTCTCTCACATCCTTGTCAGTCTTGGTATTGTAAACCAACAACAGCAGATTGTCCATATCATTGAATCTGCTGATATCAACCATGATTACAAGATTGACTTTCATGAATTCGTTTTGGCCATGTATCGCTTTCTTCCACACCGTCAAGAAGAAGAAGAGGAAGAAGAACAAGACTCTAGTTTCAACATCATTTCTGAAAAAAGTGTGTCTGATGAAGAAGTCATGACCTGGTTTCGATTTTTTGACCAAGATCATGATGGCCGTATCAGTCAAAAAGAACTTGAACAAGTGATGCAACGCTTTGATATTTACCTTACACCTCATGAAATGAAAGATATGATGAGAACAGCAGACATTAACCGTGACGGATTTGTTGATTTCGAAGAATTCAAACAATTACTGCCTCCCTTATAAACTTAGATACCCCCCTCCTTTTCTGTAAATACATTAAAAAAATTTTTTGAGAAGTTTTATGGACGCTTGTTTGTTTTTTTTTTGTTCTGATTTGAATTTTGTTTTCAGCTCGGATATGCCCGACTTGTTTCAATGATGAAGTAACGGTTTGTCAAGACGGCAAATAGGCAGTAAATAGAACAAAACATTGTTCTGTTAAAAAGCCATGTTCGTAAAGTCATACACAAAAGAAAAAAAAAGGAAGATTTTGTCGTACCTGATACTTTTCTAGTCACATTTATAGAAACAACACTTGTTGCTGATGACAAATAAAATTCCTGCATAAGCTGTTAACCTATTTGTACTACAAGATTACTCATTCAACAACGAGGTATGATGACTTGTCGTTTAAAGAATACCATAGTCTTGCTGAATAGACCAAATCACATGCAAGAATTGAATGCATGCTGTTTATTTCTTTCTAATAAAGTACAATTTAACTCTATTTTATATTTCTGTAAGAGAATTGTCATTGTTTATACTTTATTAAATGCAATGATCTACGACCTTAATTTGGTGATACCATGAAAATTTCATCCAATCAAAATGATCAGCCATAACAATAGAAAAAAAAGAGGGGTAAAGAAAAGAAAAGATAGAGAAAAAGAAAGGGGGGAAACCTACTGATATCATGAAAAAGAAAGAATCAGGGCAGTTTTACAAGTGATTCTCTTTCGCTTTCTTTCTCTTATTTTCTTTCTGGTACTACATAATAAACTTTAATTTTGAATTGGATAATACTTTTTTTTTCTTTCCTTTTCCTCTTTTTCTTTACTCTTTCTTGAACCATGTCTTTAGAAAAAAGGAAGAAGTCTCCTTATGGTCCATTTGTTGAACAAGTGTTTATGCCATCACTTCGACTTGCTTGTCTGCTGTTTGCTGTGTTGGCCATTGGATTTGCAAGCTGGTTAGAAACGAATGATTCGATCCAGGACTGCACTTTTAAGAACAGCATGTCTTTCCACCAAATTCAATTGTATCGAAATATCTCTAGTAACGTCACTACACCTGATTCAGTATCGTTTGGACTATGGAAATCATGCTATTTTTATGCTCTGAATTGTACTTGTTCACCTACCAATCTTCGATACCAGCCAGGTAAATGTTATGTATGTGATAATGATATCATTCTTATCATTTGTTGATAGATATTCAGACACTTTTAGAGACCGCCGCAACAACACATTTGGCTAAACCAATGTCAGCAACTGACAGTTCTTTTGACAGAATTATTCCATTGGTTCTGGCTACTATTGCTTGTGCCATTGCATTCTTTATTGGTTTTTCATGGGCTAAGAGAAGAGGAAAATACTTGGCTCGACGTATTGTTGCGGGTCTTTTATTTATCACACTTGTGTTTGTTGCCTATGCGTTTGGTTCAACATACGATCATTATTACAAGTCAATTATCTCAACCTGCAAAGACCCAACGAATACAGTCCTTTGTGCTCGACATAAAGTAGGCACAGAAGTCATTCTGTTTGGCATTGCATTAGGATGTCTGTTCATAGGACTCTTACTTTATCTCCTTGCTTCTGGATTTATTTACAAAGAGGAAGAACCAGAACATGTTACCAAGTTTGATGTAGAAGGGAAAATGGCTCGTTTCTTTCGCAAAAAAAATAATTCAAAGAACAAGACCATGTATAGTCAACAAGATGAATTAGCAGCATGGCATGACGCTTCCATGTTTGAAAACGAAAGTCATGAAGATTTTTGGGAAGAACATTCATCAGCCAATAACTCGTATGATCCATTAGTATATGACAACAAAAAATATCATCATAGAAAACACACGAAACCTAGTCAGTCTCTTTTGTCGCTTCAACAACATCAGCAGTCCTCTCTATCGCCTCCTCCACCTATTGCTACCAGTGGCCATCGATCTCGTACAGCCAAACATACGCGCCGTCAAATAAATGTTCGACAAGAGAGTTCGACAACATTTGGCGGAAAACAACGAAGGAAATCAAGTGGTCGACCTCTCTCTGATCTTGAACCCATTTATCAGCAACAGCCGATAAGAAGTGCTACTAGAACACCAACTTCACCCTATCCTCAGAATAATGACAAGCCAAATCAATCATCGTCTTCTTTTTGCATGACACCATTTTATGTAGATAATGAAGCTGATTCACCAGTGAGTTCTGGTTATTTTGAACAACAACCTAGTTCTAAAAGAAGATTGTCTCACCATCAGTTCTCTGGACAGAAATTACCTGTATTGAACATGCCACCTGTAGGCATGGAACATCCATTGAATAAGAGAATAGTGACTGATAAGCGAATACAAACCTATCTACAGAAAAATGGTCCCTAAATGTACATTATGATACCTTTTACTTGATTATATTCAATCTTGACAATAAACACACACACACACACCTTTTCTCTTCATTAACCCCCTTTGTTTTCCTTATGAAACTTTGAAAAGTAAATAAAAATGTATTCATAAAAAAATTTATTTTCTCTGCTTTTGAGCAAGGAAATCAGAAAATTCCTGGTAAGGACCCTTGACAAATTCAGTTTCTTCCCAGAGATCAGGAGTCAAGAAGCCATAAGTGTTACCAATAGCGGCAAAGGTAGCCTTAACAAAGTTACCAAGGGTACGGGTGGAACCACGAGAGGTGGTGTAACAATCAGTGACACCAGCCAACTGGAGGACACGCTTAGCAGTAGGAGAGGCAACAATACCAGTACCACGGGGAGCAGGAACCAAACGAGCCATAACGGAACCACAACGACCAGTGACCTTACAAGGGACAGTGTGAGGTTCACCCAAGTTGGAACCCCAGTAACCACGACGAACGGGGATAATAGACAACTTGGCAAGGATAATACCACCACGAATGGCAGTAGCAACTTCCTTAGCACACTTGACACCCAAACCAACGTGACCGTTTTCATCACCAATGACAACAAAGGCCTTGAAACGGGTACGTTGACCAGCAGTAGTTTGCTTTTGAACAGGCATGATCTTCATTACTTGATCGGTAAGCTTGGGGAGGAAGTAGTCGACAATCTGATACTCCTTGATGGGCAAGGAGAAGAGGTAGATTTCTTCAATTGACTTGATCTTGTTGGCCTTCACGAGACGACCGAGCTTGGTGACAGGAACCCATTCGTTCTTTTCTTCACCACGGCGTCCACGGCGAGGTCCACCACGACCACGTCCACGTCCACGTCCAAAGTTACCACGTCCTATAAATGGTGAGATTCGGTGATGTTGTGTTGATGCGACTTACTATCGGCCGGTGCAGAGTCAGCCATTTGCTATCCATAGGTTGTTAATATCCATCCATCCCATCCGTCAATGATACCTACATAAAACTAATTTGAAAGAATTCAAAGAGGAGGGAATCCATCTTGTTGCAGACTTGCTTTGGTTTGATATACTCCTTGGTTCATTAATGAAACCAATGTCCGGTCCGAGCCTATTCCGATACGACACTTCATGCGTTTATTTTATGATTAATGCAACATTGTGTTCTAAGCAATAGTATTCCAATGCTAATACAATCTCTGCCTCTAGATTACAGTCTTCCATTTCAAGTCTTGATAGATGAGGGCAATGTTGAAACACATATTGGTATATATATCGGTCAATTTGAACATTTCTAAAACTGAGGTAACGAAGTGATTGATGCTTTGAAGTGTCTTTTCTATCCAGCAAGGTAACTGCAGCACGGTCAGGCGCATTGATTCCCTTTTTAAATTTGATAGTTCGTGCATAAGAAAGTGAGATCAACCGAGGAAAATGAGCTAATACAGAATCAAGATACAATGGACACTTTTTGCCTGTATAGTTTGTATTGCGTATTTGTCGTTCCAAAGATAAAAAAGTGACATGATCATTCACAGGTTTTGTGATCCAAGTATTCAAGACATGCATTTCATTAAATTCATAGTCTTTTCCAATACCGAACTCAAATCCAAGTGTATGATGTATTGTCTTGTTGCGCATCAAAGTTGAAGAATAAAGTACTTCTGGGATCTCTCTTACAATATAGTTTGTGTCTGAAAGTGTGTAGTCTATCCAGTCAAAGTACTTGAAATCAATCGATATGGTGTAGGTATGGTCAGTATAAAGAATGGCATAAGAATAGACAAGTTCGAGTGCATAACTTTCGATAAACGATAGTTCGTATGGATGACGCACATGAATATCCAATTGTTGAATTGTTGTGTGCTTAACCAAGTCAAAAATAGCATCAATACATTCCATGGCTTGTTCTGTTGAAGGAATATCTTGTACGAAATTCCTCAGTACGTTCAACGAAAGCATGTCGAGTACATTGTACCTTGATTTGATAATATCAAACCATGCTGAGTCTGAATGATAAATGGAGCATTGAAGTGAATAGAGTGTTGCATATCTCTTTGTAAGAGGTTGATCGAGTGGTTGCATCTGTGTCTGTAGATCCAGGTGCTTTACATTTGGTGCTGCTCTGTGTATATCGTCTAGTGCCTCTAAATCTAGTTTCAATGATCTATCATGAATGGATATCGTCTTTAGCTGTGTCATGCTGCTTAATAAGCGTGCAATGCCATCAAAAGGTATCGCAGCACAGTTGATATAGACATCTGTTAAGCGATCACCTAGTTTCTGAAATACTTTAAATGCAACTCGGTTGTATCTTGCTACAGGCAATCGATGCAATCTCGGCCATATTGCTGTCAAATCAAGCTGATCAAGGCAATACCACACCCATATGTCTCGAAATAAAAAACTGTTTAAATTAAAGCAATAGCGCGCCAATACCTCGAGTTCAGTTACAGTGAGAGGTCTGCTTTGAAAGCCAACATCATTATGGTTATAAAGACAGAGCTTTTTAACATGAACACCTGGCATAAGATCGTGATGAGCAACGATATAAAGAAAGGTACGGAAGGACAGGAGTGAAGTCAAGTGGACGTGTGTGTAAAGTGATTCAAAAGTAGGTCGATACCAAGCACGACATACTGTGAGGCAGGCTAGCTTGTCTCTTGTGTCTATAAACCGAGATATATTTTGTAAGACTTCAAAAGGTAAGAAAGAGACCATGTTACAAAAAGATAATATAAAAAAAATCAAGAAAGTTGCATTGATCTAATCCAATCAGATTTTGTGCCTATGTTATGAAGTTTTGCTGTCTTTCTAATTTGCATCGATGTTCTTTTGTTTTTTGCTATTCCAAATGATAGAGTTGTAAGTTTGAAATCATTTCAAATTGAATCAAGTTCTGGAATTGACATCAATGATTGCCTTAATATATCGAAATAAAAAGAGGCTATACCATTACTCTTCTACAGTGCAGTGTATGAGCTTCGTTTTAAGTATAAAATAACACATCTTGTTGTTTCTCTTCATTATTTTATTTGCTCATCATGCTCAAGACTGGATTATGTTTGTTGATGAACTATAGCTTAATTTTGTAGAAACTATGCAATGACAATATTGTGAAGTGTAAGCCCATCTAGTTTTTCTCATACGAGACACTCATCATTGCTCCTTTTATATTGGGGTCAAAACGCCTAGAGAGCTGCTAATCCAGAAGATCACAATGGGTGGCAATAACATTTATCGATACCATTGTGAATATGACTCCGTAGATGTACTTCCTGTTGCTTTCTAAACAACTTTTTTCGGTATAGGCGGCAAACCACAAATTGATCTTGTCAATGTATGTTGGGACAGAAGGATTGATTGAAATTGCAGAGAAAACGCGAAAACGCTTTCCTAGCTTTGGTGGCGTGATACTTTGGGGTAAAACGAAATCTATAATTGACTTGCTCAGCTCATCTTTTCTTTTTTTTTTCATCTCTATAGATGCTTACAATAATGGACCTATCGATGCTGTTTTGAAAAATGCATTTCGTTATGGTAACCGATGTGATGGTAACTTTAACTATCCATTGTGAACTGTTCCTGCTTTTACAAAGGAGCAGAGTTCTGCTGTAGGCGAATCAGTTACATACGAGTAAGCGAATTTTGATTTATGATAGTGCTTTAACACTTCTCTTCTATAGTGGGTAAATATAATTATCTTATAGAATGCCTATCTCAACTTTTTTTCTTTTTTATGATCTATTGTGATTTAGATACATTTGAACTGTAGTTGTATAGAATCATAAGCGTATCAATTGACTTTTTTTTTGTTAATATAAGCTAAATGATATGTGATGATCTGACATAACATAAGTCTTCAATTACATAATAAAAGATATCACAATCCATTTACAAACTAAAAACATGAACTAGAGAGTCAGTTGTAATAGATAAACAGTTATTGCTACTGTTAATAGAAACACATATAGCACTAATGTACAATACATCATTAAATACATTAAAATAGTAGAAGTTGTGATAGACGTAATGTACAAAATTACATAAGTGTATTATATACTCCGATCACATAGTAAACATTTATAGTTTGACATGTCAATGTTTATAAGGATACTCATTATCAAATAAGCCTTACAACAAGTCTCAAAGTGTTTTATCTTTATCTTTATGACTATCACAACTTCACATGATATAACATTATTACTCCTGATATAGGTGTTCCCAATGCATAGGTTCCAGGTACGCAATATTCTCTTCACAATCTTTATTGAATTTCCTCCATAGTAAGTAGCTGCAAATGAAACCCAGGTGATGCTGCCTATTCCAAGATAATTGTTACTGAGAAGACTACCATAACCATCATAATACTTTCTGCTTCACCCCCGAGTAATTGTTCTGGTGTACCTGCTTGGTTATCTAGTGATAATTATAACCAAGGAAGCCAAGTAGTCTATCAAAAAACTGTTAGGAAAGCTCGCCGGTAACCTTAGATAACTTATCCGGTACTAATTCAACTACTTGGATCAAGCTAGGTAGTTTCTTTACCAAACGGGTAAGAAAGGGATATCACGTCTCTGTTCATCAACAATTAGAAACTGTTTCAATCATCCTTTGTGAACCGATATTCTTTTTAAGATATTGATTTTTTTCCCTTTCTAAACTGATGTTTCGACTACATTAAATTTGTATTTCGTCTGCACTTTGTAAAGTTAGCAGGCTGGTTGGACGATTTTTGCCTTATCCAAAAACCTTAAAAAAATTCATTCGCACCATTTGTACCGACTTTTTGATTTAAATAAAGTGAAAAAAAAAAAAAAGCAATTTATTTGTCAGAGAAAATGATTTAAGCTTGTCTTATGATATCAGAAACCTTCAAATGCTTAAAGTAGCAACATTTATAGATTAGCGAATTTCGATTACTTGTCAAAATACAGTGGTTGAGGTATTTCTCAAAAGAATATGTCATTGATTTCATCAAACCATGAAAATGACATTGTAACCTTTGAGTTGGATGTGTCTTTATTATAGACAAAGTAAATAACTAAACTGAACCTGCGAGTATATGGTAGCGTACGATAACCTGTAGCATATTTAATACGCATGCCAAAGATTATCTTTCGTATGCTATGCGTTGTAAAGTTTCTTAGCACTTTAAAGATTTTTCATGAACAAATATTGACTTTTATTTTGATTTATGGGGGGGGGGGAACAAATGTGTTTTTTATATAGGTAAGCAATCTGACAGAGTATTAATTGCTCATATAATGGAGACTGCAGGTAGATTAATGATTCAGAAGTGAAAAAGACAAGGGCTCACGCATACCTTCTTGTTTTTCCTAGACATATAAAGGTATTAAAAAACCTGTTTATACATGCATAAATACTCTAGATATGTATAAATTATGTCTGCTAATATATGGGGTATCTTTGGAGTTGGTTTGGGCCAAAAAAAGCGACTTGTCAAAAATCTCCCAAAACTTTTTTTTTTTGTAGGGGAACTATGTTCTTGTTTTATTTAAAGTCCTAAAGATGTCATAATGAGTGATAATTAAGACTGGAGGGGTATCAAATAAGTCCTTTGTTCCTCTACCTCACATCTTCATTATAAAGTGCCTATATTTCTACTCTTGCATGTTCTTTGGTACTCTCAATAGCATGAAATGTCTTTTAGAAGTTTATTAATAGCAAGTTTTGTACGACATCTAGAGCAAAAATGCTCAAAACACAACTTAAACATGCCAATCTTTGATACACCATTACTCGATAACCAGACTACTAAAATGACCTCTTTTTTTATTTAAAACATATTATCTTAAGTCCAGGAATCTAATGGTGCCACTGATTTGGTGGTTTTGTAAAATTCATTTTTTGACGGATGGGGGATCCACGGAGGTTCGCGAAGATCAGAAAATTTTGGAATGACCCAATGTAGGCCTGATCCAACCGAAAATCGAATTTGCTAAGATGAAAAAGGTGACTTCATTCGAGTATTGCCTTCAAATCTGCATTCAAATTTCGTGATACGTTGTAAATAGTAGAAAAGAGGCTCTTTTTAATAAATATTGACTATCAAGTAGGTACTTATTTATACATAATTCATTACAAAAAATATACTTGTGCAATACTTACCATAAAAATTCTTCAGACGAAAGAAAGGCGATTGTATTGAGAAAAGAATAAAAAATGGCTTGCGCTACTCATAATACAAGATATTTATGAGGTTTAAGAGAGCAGCTTTGAGCATAACTAATGATGTTTTTTTTGTATTAAGTGATTACTTTATTTATCAAAATTGATTTACATATTGAAGAACTGGTGTTCGGTCAAAAATAGATTGAATGGCGCTGATGGGTGCCATAACTCCTTGTCAAAGATGCACTTGTAGTGGTACCTCCAGAACACAGTCAAACCATTTCCTAATATCTCTAAGGTCTTTGAGGGAAGCAGTTTGTTGGCCTCGTCTGTCAGCGAAGTAAGTTCTAGCCATAGATCACTAGGATTTTCAAATTGACGATCCAGTTGGACAGAAGTCAATACTTGTTGCCAGTATGACCATTTAACCGGGCAATCAACAAAAAAGTGATGGCTACTTTCCTCTATCATACCACAAATACTACAAGCAGGCGAAGTAAATGTAGTTGCTTTCCAAGAATGGATCTTGCCTCCATTGGCAATGCTATCATGCAGAAATCTCCACCAGGGAGTGAAGGCCTTCATGTTCATTTCCAGTGACCAAAAGAGCGTCCATCGTGAAGGTGGTAGGCGTCGGGCGGGTGGTGTACGGTAAGGGATACCAATTTCAACCGGGTCGTGTTGATCGCTTCAATATCTTATAACAGAACCCGAAGTAGATTCAAGAACTTTCTTGGGTTGTCGACGGCCAGAAGGTAGCATCCAATGGTCAAGTGATGGAAGATAAGTGGTCATACCTAGGTATTGTGACGAAGAGGGCACCACAGAGCTAGAGGGAAAAAAAGACACATTTAGCTTGAACTGCTGTAGGCAAAACGCAGCTGATAGTGTCAGAAGGAGAGGGCAAGAAAAGGGCATCAAAGATCCGTATCAAAAATGAGTAGCATAACGATGGATATCTTATAGAAAGAGGGTTCAGTGTTTCAAACCCCGATTTTTTTTTTTTTTTTTTGCAATGTATATCCCTTCTTCCTTATAGCCTAATGCTCTACTCTGCTTATTTAATATTTTAAGTGTTCACCCATACTTTTATTATTATTATTATTATTTTGAAGCAAGACAATGTTATCTAAGCAATTTTAACCCATCTACGCATACAAGAATTTGATGTCAAGTCTATTCAATACATGAGTCAATGGTCTATCCAGTACATTTGATTACCAAAACTTTGTTCAGCATCACAATGACATTTCTTTTGCAACTCTCTTGATGCAGGACAATGCATAAACGGATCATGTTTATAGCCTATCTCATCAAAGAAATGGACTTCAGACTTGTTTAAAAATAAGCCCACAGCAATCGAATGGACAGGCGCATCACCCCATCTATCTAAATTCAGCTTCTGCTAGAATACAGATGATCTTACCTCTCATAAAAGAAACCACCTGATTTGTCCAGATAATCAAAAAAGGCAGTGTATTCAGGACTCCTTAAAAAGCGAAGATCGCCAATCTCAAAGTTACTCCAGAAATGACATAGGTTATAATGCCGACCTCCATCATTCGAAATAAAGTCCATCAGGTTCTTTTGAGGTATCAAGTCTGGATGTTGTTTGACAAATCCCTTGACGGTATTCCAAAGGGTAGGAATGGTTGCTTCAAATTCAATCAGGGAAATAGTCCAACCGTATTTCTTGTTGTTTTCCTTCATGTACAAGAATGGATCCGTGTCTATATCGCATGAGAATTCAACACCGGGTTCTACACGCCAATAAAATTCATAATTGGCCATGAGAGGGTGTCGATAAAAAAATCCACTGTTAAATCTATAGTGGGGACTATAAACCATTGTATAGATGCCATTTTTTTTTTTGTTACCTGCACATGTGTCTATAAGATAGATTGTCGCCATAAATAATACCTTGTTCACCCATACCTTTTCTTGCTTTGTCTGCTTTGTCAATATCAATCCATGAAGGATAACTCCAATGTTCTTTAGGAATGATACCTATTAAGAAAAATAAGTCACTTGCATACAGTGTACTCATTACCATAGGATGTATTTGCCTGTGTTAAACTTGTGGTGAGTGCTTTGAATTCTTCTGTGAATTCAACATCATTCAGAAACACATATGGATAATTCAACTTGTGATTCAATCTGGCTTCTAATTGCTGCATTGTCTTTCTTAGGGCATCCAATTCATTGTTTCTTGCTAGTATAACAAAAGCAGCATTGACCCGTGTTGTGTTCCGAGCAACACTAGGATGAATGACGGAGGGTTGTGTGGTTGATTTAGGCCAAAAGAACAACAGACACAATAGGAAAATAATAATCAAAGTAGGTTTTTTTCGATTTGAATTTATTATCATCCTAAAGAAAATAAAAAAAAAGGGAGTATAAAAAATAATGAATTTAAATGGAATCTTGGCAGATTACACAAACAGACTCAAGTAGATGAACCTTGAGCAGATGGGTTTTGACTGGGATATTTCTGTTTAGCAGTCATGGAAGGAGGAGGAGGAGGTTGAGCCGTGCTTAAATCCATGGTTCCTATAGACAGATTAGAGAAAACTTCTCTCTCAGAAAAAACTTACTTGACTTTTTATCAGCAGTAATGGATTGCTGAGGCTTGGGTCTTGCCCAGACAACACGGAGTGCATGCTCATTGATATTCAATCCCACTTGTGCTATCTTTTCTGCTGCTAATTCTGCTGATGCTCGAGTCGTGAAATTAACAAAAGCACATTTTGTCTTGGGAGCCATCACAATGGATTTGATATCACCAAAGACATAAAAGAAGCCTCTATTATCATAACAACTATAAGTTCATGTTTGTTCTATTGTTATGATGTTACCTAAGATCTTCTTGTTGAATATCAGGCTCAACACCTGTCACGAATAAAGAGGTCTATTTCATAAGTACGTAGTAGATCATCAGTTTACTTACAATATTTTGGTCTTCAGGTGGTGTTAAGCCATGACCGCGAGCACGGTTTAATAGTTTACTGGCCACTGGATCATTCGTACCATGGTAACGATCCCTGATATTCTGTTTAGGTGTATCACCCTCTGTTGGTTTTTCATGTCGATAAGGACACCCATCACCACGCTTACATTCTCCTTTCACATAGAATGAACATAGATGAGCTCTGTTGCGTTTATAATAGGGTTCACTTCTAGCCAATTTACTTAGAATGTCTCGACTTTCAGGTGTTAATCGAGTAGCATCATAAATGCCCTCTTCTCCATTGCCTTCCTCTACCTAAGATATATAGAGAGAATGTCATGATGGTTGTCCTCATAGTGAATAATTACCTTATTCGCCAAGTTTTGTGCAAAATATTGTCGGTTGATATCTGTAGAAGGTGCTGTGGATTCTAAACTAAGTGCTTTGTCTCTTACTTCAACAGGTAAACCTAGTTTTGGAGAAGGTTAGTCATCATCAATGGAAATTCTATGACTTGCCATATTGTAAATCTAAAATACAAGTCTGACAGACATGCTTCACTTTAGCACATGTTTGACAAATCTCTGTCTTTTTGTATCTTGCATTCGTACCAGGCAACCAACGAAATACAGTATAAGGTCGTTGACAAATCTAAACAGATAAGTACAAGAAAAAAAACACACACACACATCATCTAATGGGACATACTTTGCATTCTTTTCCATAAGGTTGTTTTGTCTAATGAACATCAGTAAGCATAAAAATAATAGAAAGAAAAACTTACCATGCGAACATAGGGGTTTTCACCCAAACAAGTTTCACAAACAATAGGAAATTCCTGTCAAGATGAATAAAAATGTCATGCGTAATGATGAAACTTACAGAGTCTTCCCAGCCTTGTTTATTAGGATCCGCTTTGGTTAAACTCATCAGACTTAAAAAAGAAAAAGAGAGACAGAGAGACCAAGTGAATTGAAACGCGTCATGTTGCTTGAATGCCCGCAACAAGCCACTAAAACACGTCGCGTCTAAAAAAAAAAAAAACGTTTTTTTTTTCTCTTTCTCACTTTTTTTTTTTTTCAGTTATGAGCAGTTTTAATCAAATTCCTTCTGATATTATCCCTGATACACCAGGACGTTATGGTCGTCGAACAGACTTACTTTCTTCTCAACTCGACCCTAGTTCTCCTGGTTATTATGGTCGTACACCTGGTTCTCCACGCCATATCAGAAACAGACGCTCAGAACTCTCTTCTACTTTGTTAGGTGATGATATTGGTGCTACTTCACCTCTCGCTTATCCCTCTACACCTTTACGTTCTGGCTTAGAAAGTTATGGTTCACCACGCACACCACGCACCAACCCAGCTACGTTTGTTCGTACACCTCATGCCCAAACACCGGGTCGTGCTCTCTCTTCCATGAATGTGGATTCCCAAGATGTCGACCCTTCATTGTCTGTTCGTCTTATCTGGGGTACCACTGTCAATATTCATGAGGCCATGACCAGTTTCCGTAACTTCTTGAACCATTTCACGTTGGCAGATCGTAAACGCAAATTCAATGAGCCTGTAACAGATGATGATAAACAGCCCTTTTATCCTGCCTTGTTGACCCATGTCTATGACAACAATGCAACCAGTGTGAACTTGGATTGTCGTAATTTGATGGCTTATTCAGTCACTCGTAAACTGTACGATCAACTTGTCAAGTATCCTCAAGAAATTATTCCTTTAATGGATCATACGATTACTGAATTCTATTTTGGATTGTTTCCTAATACTGATTTCAATGGTTTACAACTCAAGGTAAAAAAAAATCACTTTTAATCTATGGGTGCTTATGTATTGACTTAGGTTCGTCCTTTTAATTTAAGCAACACAGTCAATATGCGAGAATTAGATCCACAAAGTAAGTGAGTGTATCGTGAATAGCCAGGTAACCCAGCCAATCATAGATGTGGATCAATTGATTACCATCAAGGGTTTAATGATCCGTGCTTCTCCTGTGATTCCTGATATGAAAGAAGCCTTTTTCCGTTGTTTGATCTGTGACTATACTGTCACGGCCAGTGTGGATCGTGGTCGTATCTTGGAACCCACACGCTGTGGCAGAGAATCATGTGACTCTGAGAACTCCATGACACTTGTCCATAACCGTTGCCTGTTCTCTGATAAACAAGTGGCTCGTATTCAAGAAACACCCGATGTTGTGCCGGATGGTCAAACGCCTCAAACAGTCTCTATGTGTCTGTATGATGATTTAGTGGATGTAGGTAAGCCTGGTGATCGTTTAGAAGTCACAGGTATCTTTCGTGGTGTGCCTGTCCGTGTCAACCCTAAACAACGTACGATCCGTGCTCTTTTCAGAACCTATCTGGATGTGGTCCATATCAAACGTACAGATAAGAAGCGTGTTCAACTGGACAAGACATTCCGAGCTCAATTTGGCATGGAAGCGTATGAAGAAAGCGATGAGATTCAACACATCACGACCACGGATGAACAAGACATTCTGGCCTTAAGCAGACGTCCTCAACTGTACGAGACACTCGCTCGCTCACTGGCTCCTAGTATCTATGAACTGGATGATGTGAAAAAGGGTATTTTGTTGCAGTTGTTTGGTGGTACACACAAGACATTCCAAAAGTCAGGTGCACCCAGATTTAGAGGGGACATCAATGTCTTACTGGTGGGTGATCCAGGTACAAGTAAGTCTCAATTACTTCAATATGTGCACAAGATTGCTCCCCGTGGTGTCTATACATCCGGCAAAGGTTCCTCTGCTGTGGGTCTGACAGCCTATATTACCCGTGACCCTGATTCACGCCAATTGGTGCTGGAGAGTGGCGCCTTAGTCTTGAGTGATGGTGGTGTGTGTTGTATTGATGAATTTGATAAAATGTCAGATGCCACTCGTTCTGTGCTACATGAAGTTATGGAACAACAGACCATTTCAGTCGCTAAGGCAGGTATCATTACCACCTTAAATGCTAGAACCTCCATCTGTGCCTCCGCTAATCCTATTGGCTCACGATGGAACAAGCATCTTTCTGTGCCCGCCAATCTCAATTTACCTCCCCCTCTCTTATCTCGATTTGATCTGTTGTATCTGATCTTGGATCGTATTGATGAAGATGCCGATCGTCGTCTAGCTAAGCATTTAGTAGCACTCTATATGGAAGACAGCCCATTGACAGCTGGTAATGATATCGTGAGTGTGGAACTCTTGACGAAATACATCAATTATGCAAGAGAGAAAGTACATCCTGTCTTGAGTGAAGAAGCGGGTTCTAAACTGGTTGATTTCTATGTGGATCTTCGTAAACAAGGACAAGACCGTAGTTCTGAGAAGCGAGTGACAGCCACCACACGTCAATTGGAGTCCATGATTCGTATGTCTGAAGCCCATGCCAAGATGCGATTATCACCCACTGTGGATGTGGCAGATGTAGCAGAAGCTTCTCGTTTGTTACGTGAGGCCATCAAGGATTATGCGACTGATCCCAAGACAGGTCGTATTGATATGGATCTTATTCTGTCTGGTACAGCATCTTCTGAACGTGATCTTCAAAATAGCTTAAAGGAAGCTTTATTATCCAAACTATCTTCTTATCACCATAACCGTGTTGATTATGCTAAATTATTCAAAGACTTTAATGACCAAAACCAAGTGGTAAGCCAATATCATCCCAATGCTGTTTTTTATTGATGTATTTCTTTAGCCTGTGGATAACAAAACATTTGAAGATGTGTTAAGATCTTTACAAGATCAAGGTGTCATCAGTACTTCTGGAGAAGGAAGAAAGCGCACCATTCGTATTCTAACAGCAAGTGCTGATGCTTAATGATAAATGTTTACCCTTTATATACAAATAAATAAGTGCTACCTCTCTTTTTTTTTTTTTGATTAGCAAGCAAGGATATGTGTCACCCTTAATCACCGACAATCTCGCTTTAAACACAATGGCACTTGTTACACACATGAATTTCACATTAACATGAACGGGACAAATCGTGAACTCTAACTAAATCATAAGACCTTAAAAAAAAAGAGAATCGCTTTCTTTTATGCCTTATGATTGGTCAATTCTAGATGATGTACATGGTCAATCATCCATATCAGGAAAATATAAAGTTATAGACTGAGACAGAAATAAGATGAGGTACAAGAACACATCTAACTTGGTACTGTATACTTTATGAACCAGTGACATGAGGAAGAGCAAAGAAAGAGACTTCCAAATGGAGTAATTATGATATCGGTGTTTGAATTGTTTTTCTTTTTTTTTTTTTTTTTTTTTTTTTCTTATTATTATCTCTTTTTCTTTTGATTATCAACATGTTACCAATTCATTCAGGAAAAAAGTCTACTATCACAAGTCGTATGGCAGATCAAGTATTAGCCACCACATTATTTCCAGAAGAAGATACAATCATTAAAGACATTACAGATATAGATCAGTTTGAAAAAGAAAAGAAAAAAGACCCATTATCAAGTCAGATATGGCGTATGTACACAAAAGCAAAAGATACTTTACCTAATGGGAATCGACTTGAGAACCTAACATGGCGTATGATGGCCATGACACTCAAAAAAGAAGAACCCATGGAAACAACAGCAACAACAACAACAACTAAATCATCACCAATGGTAAGTCATGCCTGAATTTTAAACATGTGAAAAATAAACAAAAATATAGGTGATTCATAACAAAAGTATCAATATTCCTGTCAATGATGATGATATAGATGACTTGGTCTATAGTTCATCCCTTCCTCTCTTTGGTCCATCTTCTTCTACTTCTTCTCCTACAGCAGCAACTCATATGGGCAGTGTCAGTTTTGAAGATATGTTGGGCATGTACTGTAATCCAACACATCCTTCTTCTCTAGAAGAAGACACCAAACCAAGTCAGACACAATGTTCCAACTGTTCAACAAAAACAACACCCCTCTGGAGAAGAGATCCCTTAGGCAATCCACTCTGTAATGCATGTGGCCTCTTTTTAAAGTTACATGGTGTGGTTCGACCCTTAAGTCTCAAGACAGATGTGATAAAGAAAAGAAACAGAAATGCTACATCAGCCACACACACTAAAAAAGAACAACCTTTACTCTCCAGTTCATTACCCAATACTATCTCAAGTCGTATTCAAGCTACCCCTTCTAAACCCTCACAAACCATTCAAAAGCGACAACGAAAGAGTATTCAAAAACAACAACAACAACAACAACAACAACAACAACAAATGATGATGTCTACTTCTTTACCCAATCAACCCTCATTTCATTCTTTACCAACTTCTTCTTCGTATATGAACTTCATACCTTCTGTTAATAATGCTTCTCCTCCCGGCCTTGTACATTCTTCCTCTAGTTCGTCTTTAGCTAGTTTAGGACAACCTGATGTGTATTCTTTATTAGAAAATTATGGTGTCCAATTGAACAGTTTGCCACCTGAATTACTTCCATTGATTGCTTCTGCAGCAAACTACCAAGCCATGATGGCAAACAACAAAATAGATAGTTATCCATCTTCACAAGATAACCCTTTTTTCTTTCAATAAAAATTTATTGTTGATTGAACACATGATGTTGTATTCTTTCTACTCTCTCACTTGTCTTTTGCATCAGTTTAGTCGAGACTAAAAGTCTTTCTTTGGCATCTTGGAGTTTTTCTAGACCAGACTGAAGTTGAGGTGGTTCTGCAATATCGGTAAAGAGTTCTAACTCTACATAGTTTTATCAATCGAGTGCGATGGCGTGCATGGATTACCTGCAATCAGTCTTTCAATTTCTTTGCCAAGGTCTTGTTGACTCTGTTGAACAGAGACCATAGCCTTGTCTATCTCAGTGACAGTGGGTCCCAAGATGGAACTAAAGTCTTGTGCCATAAAGAAAAAAAAAAAAAAAAGAGAGATAACTTCACTGCTTTCGAGTCCCGCAGAGGCGTCACACAAGACAAGAAAAAAACTTTTTTCTTGTTTGATCTCATTGCTTTCCCTTTTTTTTTTTGCTACTCTTTTGAAAGGTACACAGGACGTGATGTGAAAGCCATATTAAAAACCGTGTTAGATTATCATGACTGATTCCAGCAAACCTCATTTCTCTCTCCCCACTGTTCATGACAGCGAAAGTGGCTGGGGACCTTCCAGTACCATCACACCTGAACAATTCCGTGAAATTCCTTATGCTCCTTATAGCAAGGCCGATAAACTCGGTCGTGTTGCTGACTGGACCAACCCTGAAGGTCAAAAGCAAGACAACAACCAAACCACAGGGGGCCGTCAAGGAAGAGCTGGTTTCAGCCGTTTCAACAGAGGTAAGATGGATGGGAATAGAGGGGATGATTAACATGATTAGATCAACATCAAGCTTATGGTGCCTCTTTTGCTTCTGCATTTGCTCATTTCCATACAGAAGATGAATCTTCTTTCTCTGTTGTCGATAACCGATCGGCTGGTACCAAGAAGCAAGCCCTGAAGGCTGTCGGCGGCGGTAACGTACGCAACACTCGTACCCAAACTACCAAGCAACCTGGATTCCGTACTGTCGGTCAACGCCCTGCTGCTGGTCGTTACCAACAACAAGCCAATCGACGCAGATATGGGTATAAAGACTACGATAAACCTCAACGTGTTCGTAATGCCTCTATCACTATCGGTACAGATTGGAAAGTGTTGGATGAAATTGAGTTTAGTCGTCTTAGCAAGTTGAACTTTAACATTCCTCAAGTGAACGATGTGTAAGTAAGAGCCCTTTCAGATGATTTTTGCTGATACCATGATTGTAGTGCTACTTTTGGTGCTGTCAACCTCTATAACAAGGCTTACGATCGTGTCAACACCAAGAACGAAAAGATGCTTGCCCATATTGACCGCGTCAAATACGACACCACCACATCTGAAGATCCTGTCATTCAGAAATACATTCAAGAAAACAAGGCTACTGTCTTTGCCACGGATGCTGTCCTTTCCCTCTTGATGTGTGCTACTCGTACTGTCTACCCCTGGGACATTGTTGTCAAGAAGACAGCGGATGGCAAGGTGATTTTGGACAAGCGACCCGGTGGCGTCTTTGACTTTGTTACTGTAAACGAAAACTCCTATGACCCTCCTACTGAATCTGACAGAGACACCATCAACTCATGGTCTTCTCTCTGTAACGAAGCCACCTACATTAACCAAAATTTCTCGCGTCAAGTACTTGATCCTAAGGTGACTGAAAAGTTCGACAGCCCTAACCCTTTTGCCACATCCGACACGGCCTCCGAGCTTGCTTCTTGTGGTTACCGCTACAGAGAATTCAACTTGACCAGCGCTGATGCTTCTGAAGGCGCTGAACAGATCCACATGATTGTCCGTACTGAAGTCGATGCTGCTGTCAAGCAAGGCAACACCACCAACTACGTGACGATCCGTGCCTTGAACGAATTCGATCCTACGGCTCAAGGTGCAGGTGGTGCTTTGCCCTGGAAGAAGAGTTTGGATTCTCAACGTGGTGCTGTGGTGGCTACTGAAATGAGAAACAATGCTGCCAAATTGGCTCGTTGGGCTGTCCAGGCGATTTTGGCCGATGCTGAACAACTCAAGTTAGGTTATGTGGCTCGTTACAGTCCCAAGGACAACACTCGTCATGTCATTCTTGGTACACAAGCCTATAAGCCTCGCGATTTTGCTTCTCAAATGAACTTGAGTTTGACGAACGGTTGGGGTATTGTCAAGGCTGTGGTTGATATGTGTCTTCAGTTGCCTGAAGGTACTTATGTGATGATGAAGGATCCCAACAGACCTATTCTTCGTATCTATGTTGTTCCTTCTGAAGTTGATTTACAGAATGAAGATTATGATGAAGAAGAAGAAGAAGAGGAAGCAGTCGAAGAAGAAGAACAAGATGAAGAATAAATAAAATTTGATAGATTTGTTACTCCACTTGGTTTTTTTTTTTTTCCTTTTATCTTTCTCTTTTTCTTCGTATTGGATGGAATACTTTAAAGAGACAAGTTTATCTTCTTCCCGTAGACCAGAATTATTACCTGATGAGTCTATTTTAATACAACAAGGCCATGTTGGTCTTTATAAAGGGTATATATATATACATATATATATATTCTTTTTATTTCAAATGATCACTGACGATGACTAGAAAAGAAAAACTCAATCATTACCAAGATGGTATTTGTTACTTGACTTCGCATCGCATCATCTATGTAGACAACACACACCCTTTAGAATACTCGGTCGAACTCAGTCTAAGTCTCATCAAAGACATTGAAAACTATGTAAAGTGAGTATTGTTAGACGTGCATCTCACTTACCTTCTGTTTAAGAGTGGATTTTTAAGATCGTCACCTAAAATCATTATTGATGTCAATGAAAGTCAACCTGTAGAAACAAACAACACGACATGGGCTTGTTCCATCTGTTTCTTTTCAAACAAAGCAACAGCAGATACATGCGAACTATGCGGTGTCCGAAACGAACATGTAGACAAGGTCGTGCCTGTTCAGGCCCATGTGGATGATAGTAGTACATGCACTATCTGTACGTTTCAGAATCATCCAAGTATGGTTCAATGTGAAATGTGTGGATCCGATTTACCTAGAGCCATCACCACATATACCCATGGACCAGGACAAGTACGTTTGTCTTTTCGACATGGAGGACAAGCTGCCTTTCTAAATAAACTCAAACAAGCACTCCAAGTCAAACAATGGGAAAAGGTATGTCTTTCTTTGACTTAAACTTATTCTCTTTCTTTCTTCGTTTAGGCTAAAAACACACCTACAACACCTACTGCAGTCCGTGGTGTTGGTATCAGTAAGTTAGGACACGTTTGATCAGGTAGATAACATGGGTTTAGATGCCATTGAAGACAGAATCAAAAAGACAACACTTGAAACCAATGAGACCATGACGGATGCTTTCCAAGATCTAGACAGGCTGATGACAAAAGCAACTGAAATGGTCAAATTAGCAGAATCGATATCGAACAAAGTCAGTAAAGATCAAGATAATGAATTGTCCACACTGCGTACGCATTTACTTGCCTTGGGTATTGCTTCACCCGTGACAAAGTAAGTGTGGCATGGACAGACAAAAGCTAATCTGGTAAAGAGGTTCTGCAGGGTCAATTTATCATCAAGAATTAGCCAAAGAATTGGCTGATTTCCTAAGCAAGTTTTTTGATAGAGATGACATGAAATCCTTAACTGATATCTATTGTCTGTTTAATCGAGCAAGAGGTGTTGGTGAGTGTAACAGGAAGCAATCAGTTGGTGACTAACATTCAATGAAGCCTTGATTTCACCTGAGGATTTATACAAAGCAAGTCAACAATTTGAAGCACTCAAACTACCTTTTCGATTACGCCAATTCTCAAGTGGATTACTAGTGATTCAGTCAATTGATATGGATGATACAAGAGCAGCTTCTCGTATACTCAAACATGTCAAAAACCAAGGCGTATTGACGGCTATTCGACTAGCTGAAATAGAGGATTTAGCATTGGCAGTGGCTACAGAACAATTGATCGTGACTGAGCGTATGGGACTTATTTGCCGTGATGAAGGGCCAACTGGCTTAAGTTATTATGAAAATTTATTTGTGTTATAAATATATATATATATATATATCAGGCATTGGGATCCCATTGTGCATCTTTAGCATGTTGTTCTGCTATATTTTGAAAATAAGCTTGTGCCTGTGCACCATTTTCATGACTAGCCACCATGCCATCAATCGCTAGACTGTTTGGAATACTACGTATCAAGGGACGTTCAAGCGATTGAGCTGAATTGATAGACCGTATCATGGCAGGCGGTTCATGATTGTATTCTGATAAATCATGAGCTGTATTGATCCACCCTTCATCCCCATGCGCCAATATGTCTTCAGCAGTCTCTCCTTCTTGGGTAGGTGGTGGTAATTGAGACTCTTCATTATAACTATCTAAATAACTTGTGATCCAAGGATGGTTCAAAAGCTCTTCAGCTGTAGGACGCTTATTGGGGTCACGCACAAAGCATTTCTTTAGGAAATCAATACCAGGACTTGAGAGTTGAGAAGCATCTGGTAGTGGGGGATGACCTGTCACTACATGGTACATGACAGACCATTCGTTTTCCAGTGTACTCCAAGGACGACGACCTGTAGCCATCTGGACAATACAACAACCGAGTGACCAGATATCCATGGATCCCTTTCGACCTGTATTACTACCTGTAATAACTTCAGGAGCCTAGAATGACTTGGTCAACGTCAACGAAATACCATAGATAGACTTACCATGTACATAGGTGTACCCGCTAAACTGTTGACATTCATATTCACTGTTGTCCTTCCCATGGTCTTCTGTCCCTTGGCCAAGATTTTGGCTGCACCAAAATCTGATAACTTTAATTGACCCTGATAATCAATCAAGATATCTATATTATTTGTTAATGTCATGATGTCATAGAGACACTTACTATCTGGTTTAATATCTCGGTGTACAATATTATTGCCGTGCAAATAAGCAAGACCACTGAGGAGTTGGTAAGCATAGTCTACCACATACAGTTCATCTTCAATACGCCCACCATGATCCAAAAGAGCACCTAGACTACCATTTTCACAGTATTCCATAAATATATACACACGGTCACGGTGTACTTCCTACGTAGAATGAGTCATGTCACTCAAATGCATACTGCTTACCATGCCATAGTATTGTACAATATTTCGGTGATGCAGCATCTCCATGACTTTCATTTCTTCCTTGATAGATTTATGCAAAGCGGAAAGTGAACTTGAATCTGGGAATCGAATTTCTTTGACAGCCATGACAGTCGAAGTATCCAAATTGATCGCCAAATAGACTGAACCAAACGTACCTGCACCAATAAATCGACCTTGTTGCCACTTGAATGAGATATTGGAAGACGAAGGAGCAAGGAAGACAAGCGACTGATCTTCTGGTTTTTGGTCATCGAGAATTTTACCAATAATCTTGCGCTCTTGTTCATCTTCAGTCCGTTTGGATTCCAGTTCAGTGATTTTGCGCATCCAGGCATCACGGATATAGATCACGCCTCCTCCACCTGTGATAGCAGTGTCATTGGCAGCACCAAATGTGGAACTGGTCGTGATATTGTCTTTGTCTGAACCCTTGCTTGTCATGTACGAATTTCGCTTGGCTGTGAGACCACGACGACGTTGTTGGTCTTCTTTCAGTTGGAGTTCATAGGTATAGCGTGTGCCCAAGACATCAAAGTGAGAAATCAGCAGAGCAACACAACGCGCTACTTTACTCTGAAGGGTAGCAAACTCATTCTCTGTCAGGGCCAAAATATTCACACCGCGTGTCATCATATGTACAAATTCCAATGCGGCTACAGCCCAACGAAACGTCTTTCGATCAGAAGGTATACAGTCATCCGTGATAAAACAGATCCAGTCAATTGCGAGTCGGACAAGCTTCAGATCGAGTTGTAGCCGAACAGCCAGTTCCAGAAACTTGCTGGCCCGAATACCGAAATCACTAGCAAAACTAAAGCATTCCTCTACAAGTTCTTGGCACCCTAGTCCTAGTGTTTGGTCACGGATCATACTCACACTTGAAATGGTGGAGTCAGCCAGCTTAAAGACAGTCATTTTGATCTTGTAGAGTTCCTTATTGATACGAGGAATATGGGCACGGTGTTCTTGAATGATTTCGATGCCTGAATGTTGTACGGCAGACCAAAAGGCTGATTTGGCTGAATTGAGTTTTTGAGCATCACCTGTCGTGAGACGTACTCGCCTTGTCTTGATACCGAGATGAATAAATGATGTTGGTACCTGAACCACTTCGCCTGTCCACATAATATTTTGCCATGGTGAAAATATCAAGATATAATCATCGTATTCTCCATTCTGTATCGTGAGTTCACTGGGTGTTAAAGGTGTGGAAGGTTGTGGTGCTTTACTGTTGGCAAAACAAGATCGAATCAGTGTTTGGATCATTTCTTCTCTTCCATAAAGAGAAGGAGAAGCAATGATATATACTCTGTCTTCTTCAAATGAACCTGTATAGACCAAAAAATGGCCTGTTTCGACAAGACATGTCACGAATTTGTCCATATGATCACTCTCAAGCACATATTCAGCCGAGTTTTCAAACTGGCTCATGAAAAATCTATCTGAGTGAGTCCTAAATCAAGAGATCAATGGGGCCTTACCTGGCAAACTGCAATAGCTTTCTTGCACGCATTCGCATGGTATGTAGTAATTTGGTGTATTTGACTTCGATGCCTCCATCGACTGATTCAGGCGGTACTTTTAAGCTGGAAATATAATCATGCATGACATCTGCCAAAAGACGGTTGGTTAAAGAACTAAATGGGAGTAAGTAAACACGTATTCATCCTAGACTTAACTTGCCAAAATTGCTCTGCACATTCCCAATCAGCCTTATCCACAACTTGACATACTGTGCCCTGTAGAAATGCCCATTCTTTTTCCATCACTTCTTTTTCTCTGAGGTTATTTTCCTTTTCTAGCTTTAATTTCCATGTAATCAACTTGAAGTAGAAACGCACAGATTCCATCAACACATTGTCATAGTTGCGATCAAATGGCTCTTCATTATCGTCAAGTTTCCAGCCAGGTGCTGAGTTAGCGAGTTCCTCGTATTGACATTTGACTCGGCAAGCAAGCGATAGCAAACTACGGTAATCTTCCATCATGGCATCTACCATTTGCTTCGGTGGTTCTTGCATACGATTCTTGTATTCTAAACGAAGCTTTAAGGCTTCTTCTACTAAAGAAATAGGAAAATAAGCCAATTGTCTAAGTTGAGAGATAAAAGAAGGCAAATTCATTTCTTTAAACTGATTTGCATTGTAAATCATGGTTTCTTTTGACTTGAGTAAAAGCAGATTCAATGCAGATAATGTACGCTTATCGAATGTATCTTGAAGGGCTGATTCTTTCAAGAGTCGTTCAACAAACGAGATATCATTCCGTTTATCGTCTTGTATCTCTTGTGGTTTTTTGCGAGCAATCTGAAGATCTTCCGAACCAGTCCAGTTTCTGAGGATTTTGTATTGCATGCTTAGACTGCGAGTGATAGTACACCATGAATTCAATGCATCGAGTTTGGTCTGGAATTCAACTGAGCCGTATTTTGGATGAGCAAGGATCAATGCTGCACGCGTTGTATACAGTGATTCGATGCGATCGACATTCTTCAACACTTCGGCTACTCTTCTTAGAGCTGAATCTGCTTCGTTCTGATCGATCTTGAAGTCCATCACCATTTGTAGCACACCTTCGATTTCTTTGCGGTTCTCTTCCAATGATTTCTGTTCCTGTAAAATGGTTCTTCCACGCAACAACGCACGAAGCGATAACCAAATTTCTTGTGTTGGTTTCTCTTGCGTAAACTTGTCTGAGCTCGACAATCGTTTCTTTTCAGACTTGATGACTTCACCCAAAAGAACAGATTGAAGCATTTGTTGCCATTCCAGTCGTTCATGACTTATTTCGGGTGCTACGGCTGATACGGCTTGGTTACGAGCATAGAGTTGATTGAAGGCTGATTCATCATCTTCATCGCTGTTGGATTGGTCCTCGTCATCGCTATAGTCATCTTCATCTAAATAAGGGTTGTGAGAGAGTGGTGTAGTAAAATGAGTAAAAGGCCAAGGTGTAGTGTTGTATCCATTAGGAAATGGAGCTGCAGATTCTTGTGTTTCATCCATATCGTTATCGTGCTGCGTCCAACGCACTCTTCTGACATTGGCCATATTTGTTGTATGAGAAAAAGAAAGGGAGAGAGGGAGGAAAAAAAAGAGGCGCTTTTTTTTTGCCTTTTTCGCACACTTTTATTTCCTTTTCAAGTGCATCTTTAACTTTGTTTGATTTAAACGAAAAAGAGAAGCATTCTTCTTTTGAATGACTTGAGAAACGACTCAAATAAGAAAAGAAGTTGTGCTGGATAAAAAAAAAAAGACAATGCATTCACTGTACCCATTGATAGTTTGAATAAATAAGGCAATACGATAATCATTAAATTTGAATAATAGAGATAAATGAAAGAGCAAAAATATAATGTTAAATAAGCAGAGCACAAACAATATTTACATTAGGCTATAAGGAAAAAGGGAGATACATTAGTAACAGACATGAACCAGTCTATGTAAAACATTGACTCGGATATGAATAATTTTGTCAATTGCATAATTACATTCATACGACTACATGCTTAATCGACCAATACCAGTCTGTGATTGATGCAAAAGGCTGTCACACTCATTATCGATCTTGCTGCATCAAGGAAACATCATGACTATGATCCTCTTTAGGTCTCAAGAGCTGAAATCAAGCGTTGATTGAGTAATGCACTCCGCAACAATAGGCGTAGAAAATTTATAGAATTTAACTTTTCATGAGAGTAAAACTACAAAAAGACGAGGAGATTAGAAGTAGTAAATACCCTTCCTTAAGTTTGACATGTCGTTCTTTCTGAGCTATAGTATACCCCCCGAAGCAGTGCAAACCAACTTCAAATACCAAGATTTAGGGTTAGAGACTATCCAAGATTTGTTGTAGACCACTAGATGACTATTTACAAGGCATTTTTATTGAGGAATACAATGCAATAGACACAAAACATAGCTGATACATACCATGGCTCATGATTTTGTTCTGCTGCTCAATCGACTTGTTTAGAAGTGTAGACTTGAACTGACCTTTTTTTTTTTTTTCATGCCTGAATTGCTGCTTGTCAATGTGATATCGCACTTGTAAATGCTGCATATAAGCATTGTTGCTATCTTTAAAAACCGATTCAAAGAACTGCAGTATAGGTATACTATTCAAAAGCATATCGCAATCCAGGGAGAAAAAAAAGGGGGCGGAGCGGGGCGGGGAGGGGGCAGCAGCAAATGATCAGGGTTGGACTGTTGTAACAGCGAGAAAAAAAAGCAGTATGTACTTTACTTGTCAATTGATGGATGTAGCTTGGAGCAGAAGTATCAAGTGAATTTCAATGACGACACAATCAGAGGTATTGGCAACATGCAGGTATTTTACTTGCAAATAGTGACGAAGACAGGGTAGAAACAAATATTGCTACAACAAAGGTACTTCTTGACTACAAAACTAGCAAATAAAAAATAAAAATAAAAAAAAGCCCAAAAGACACACAGTAATAAGAATCAATGCTCTGAATCAAGTGTATAAATATACTTCGATAGTCAAAGGTTTTCGCAGGAGAATATGCGATTGATTTGATTGAACTATAGTGCCTTTCAAACTGAATGTATCTTTATTATATCAAAAGTAAATATTACAATTAGAGCTGTGAGTTTATGGTAGTTTGTACTATATTCAGTACATGTGCTAAAGCTCTTCTTTCATGCATCATGCATCATAAAGTCAAAGTGATTGTCCTCCTCCTCCTCTCCTTCCTTCAACACTTTGGTATCTTTCATAGCTAAAACATTCCCTTTCTTTGTTTAGGACGGATCAAGTGCCTTTTTGATATAGTATTTTATGTAGATGAAGCTGTTCGGTAGTTTATTACTTGCTTATGCAATAGAGATTTCAGGCAAACTAATGATCCAACAGTGAAAAAGATAGCAGTCCACGCATAACTTCTTTTTTTCTAGATATATGAAGGTAGTATAAAGCCTGTTTACGCACGCATAAATGCTTTAGATACCTACAGGTCATGTCTACTAACATACACGGTACTTTTGGGGTTGATTTGCACTAAAAAAAAAAGCGACTAGTAAAAAATGGTCAAAAATCTCTTAAAACCAAAGGGTACTACTCATCAAGAATGCCAAGTTGACAACTCATTGAGCTTCTTTTTGACGCTACAAGACAAAAAATAAAACTATAGACCAGCTCAAATACTCAGAATGTGCGTCAGAGGACGTAGTTTTTGGTGAATGTGTTTGCTTGCCAATTCTCTTACGAAAATGATAAGATATGAGCAAAAAGCCGTGCAAGTGTTTTTGCACATTCTCTCAAGGTTCCAGTAACAGAGCTACCGTGATCTTTACATCAATAGACTCAGAAAACAAAGATCAACAACTTTTGTCATTGTGTCGAGGCGAAATAACTGCGTCTTTATGCAATTCTAAGCAAAAGCTCGATTTCAGATGCGGCAGGAGTTCCCCTCCCTTTTCAATCTCCCCAAACAGCCATCAAGTATGTCATATTTTCATTTGCCCCATATGTACATTACAAGGTGCCTATATTTCTACTCTTCCGTGTTCTTTGGTACTCTAGATAGCATAATGTGTCTTTCATAAGTTCATTGCTAGCAGTTTCATATGTCATCTAGAGCAAAAATGCTCAAAGCACTGCTTAAATGCATCATTCTTTGATGGCCCATTCCTCGACAACTACATTATCAAAACAGTCCGCTTTTTTATTTAGAACATGGTCTTTTGAGCCCAGTAATCGAATGGTACCATTGGTTTGGTGGTTTTGTGAAAATCATTTTTTGACGGATGGGGATCCACAGAAGTTCATATTTATAATAGTCCTTTTGAGCGCACGACCTAATTTGGCTTTTAATCGCTCGGACTCGGTCATTTCATAAGAAGGACTAATTAAACTGAAAAAACCTTTAGAGGAGCAAGGATAAAAAAGGCTTGTGAAAGGAGAGTGTTGGGTTAATGTTTTTTGTGGGCATAGGTTTGTAACCATAGCAATATTTGTTTCTACCCTGTCTTCGTCACTATTTGCAAGTAAAATACCTGCATGTTGCCAATACCTCTGATTGTGTCGTCATTGAAATTCACTTGATACTTCTGCTCCAAGCTACATCCATCAATTGACAAGTAAAGTACATACTGCTTTTTTTTCTCGCTGTTACAACAGTCCAACCCTGATCATTTGCTGCTGCCCCCTCCCCGCCCCGCTCCGCCCCCTTTTTTTTCTCCCTGGATTGCGATATGCTTTTGAATAGTATACCTATACTGCAGTTCTTTGAATCGGTTTTTAAAGATAGCAACAATGCTTATATGCAGCATTTACAAGTGCGATATCACATTGACAAGCAGCAATTCAGGCATGAAAAAAAAAAAAAAGGTCAGTTCAAGTCTACACTTCTAAACAAGTCGATTGAGCAGCAGAACAAAATCATGAGCCATGGTATGTATCAGCTATGTTTTGTGTCTATTGCATTGTATTCCTCAATAAAAATGCCTTGTAAATAGTCATCTAGTGGTCTACAACAAATCTTGGATAGTCTCTAACCCTAAATCTTGGTATTTGAAGTTGGTTTGCACTGCTTCGGGGGGTATACTATAGCTCAGAAAGAACGACATGTCAAACTTGTAGCTTTATAGCGTATCTGATACTTTAACTACAAGAAATCAAAGAACTGTAGTTTAGATGCAATCTCGCTTACGTATTTTTTTTATGTGTTTTTTAATATGCTGCCTAAAGTGAAAAATCCTATTTGTTTGGGTGCCTTTGGTTGCATAAATCAAAACGAATCAAGATGATTAGTGTCATATTCATGAAGAATCACTAGACAATGAATGATTGTCATTCTCATTGCCTTCTTTATTAAACATTGATGAATTCATAAGCGAACCTTCAATCCATGACACAATGTGCGTATCATTGTCATAGCTTTCAGAGGATTCTTCGCTAATCTGACTATTGACTGGATACAGACGATGACTTTCTTCCTCTTCTTCTTCTTCTTCTTCTTCCTCCTCTGCTTGGTGTATTTTGTCTCTATTCAATATGCCTGAACCAATGTCTAACAGTATGTCTTCGTCTAATGAAGGTGGTTCTAGGCTGATGTTCAAATCTGATAGGCGTCTTACATCTCCTCCTGGTGGAAGCCTGTTTGAAAGATGATCTTGTTCAAACTATGTAACAAAGTATAAGCTATCATCACCACAAAAAGCTATTTTTTTTTTCACCTTGAGTATTTCGCTTTCCATTCTCTCTTTCATGTCATGGAATCCATATAAGCACTCGTGAATGAACTCTGCAAGATCTTGATACACCAGTCAGTTATCACACACACACACACACACACACACACACACACACACACACACACACACACACACACACACACACACATACATCATGCTATACTTACTAAGAGGATCTGTATCTGAGATATCACCTTCTCTGTCTGTAGTAAACTGGGACGCTTCATAACCTTCTTCTTCTTCTTTTTCTTCTTCTTCTTCTTCTTCTTCTTCTTCTTCAGCAATGCCTTGCCATCCATCACCCAAGTCTATCTTTTCATGAGGATGTTGTTGTTGCTGTTTTTGCTCTAAAAGTGCTTCAATACCACTTTCAATGCCTATGATTCTATCCAGTGCTTCTTCTACATCATCATCAATAGTATCAATAAACCCTGTCACTGGTCCTGGAGTAATACGGACATCGTAATAGACATAGATCTGATCCTCAAAATCTACATAGAACAAACACGGCACATTAACATAGTTTTCAACAGAATAAAGACCAGCAGTAAATGCACAAACGCGTCCTTCAAATGCAAACTTGACCAATTGATACTTGATCTTTTCTTCTTCTTTTTTGCTCCAGTCAATCAGATAAGTCACTCCATTCCAGGCACAGGCAACAAACAAATCACAACCTGGCTCATCTTCTAACTCACTGCCGTTTTCACTCCATGCTTCACTTTCATAGTCACTATCTTCTTCTTCCTCTTCTTCTGAGGTATGCTCTTCTACGTGCTTACTGTTGCGTCTAGAACCTGTAAATGAAGATGACCTAGAATTGAGGGATCCTTTGTGTGGTGTTGTAGAAAAGCGTAAATGAGAATTACTGCTCATAG